GAAAGAGGCGTTTGGGTCCTGAAGGAATCCTCGCGCCTTAGTTTCATCGAAGGGGGGGGCTTCAAACGAAACTAAGGCGCAAGCATTCTTTCAGCACCCAAGGCAAGGCGAGCCGAGTGACCATCCTGAAGCTGTCGCGAAGCGAAGCCCATTGACAAAGGTACAAAGGAGGAGTTGAAGGTGGCGGGGAGAAGCGGGGGACGGCTGGCTGGCCGGTCGCTCGGCTCACCTTGCCTTGTCATGCGTGCTGATGCCGGTACTGGGCCGCGGATCATTTTGTGATGCCGGTACCGGGCCGTGGCACAAAAAAGGTTGGGGACCACTGATCTAGATAGTATTTGAATCGAAAATCATTTTAAAAAGTCACAGGATTGAGGACTCCCCCAAGATGGCTGCTGAATGGTATGAATGTTTTCCTTTCCTGATGATAATTTGCTGATTTTGCTGCCAGAGCTGGCTCTCTGGAAGAGCAGCTTCCTGGATTTGAATGGGAGCATTTAGGAATAACTCAGATGACTTTTGGATGGTGGTGGACCCATCTAGGAAGGAGAGTCTTGAAAATTCCAGTTCTCTTTGGGAGGAGTCGAAAAGTCAGGGCATCCATCTTCCTTTCAACATTCATTTTCTAATAATGCCTAGATATTAACTTTCACTTTTTGAAATTACTGCTTTACTTTTTGTCTTTAAAAGTTGACTGGCTGGTCGAATGCTGACCTACTTTAACCCCTTGCTGGATTTTAACTGTTTTTTCCCCTCTTCGTTTTGATTTAGGTTATTTTGAATAATTTTTGCTTTTCTGCATGGAAATGTGAAGCGTCTTTGGATGGTGAAGTGTTTTTATTTGATTTACATCATATTAGACTTTCACCACTGGGTTTTTTGTACTTTATTAGATTGGAAAATATTTTGAGTTTATTTTTTTAATTTTTCCTTTTAACTTTGGATTGACATATCTTCTCTGTTCCTTTGATTTATTTCTTCACTTTGCTTTATGTTTTTTGTTTCCTGGTTAACTTATACACAGCAACAATGGATTGAATTAAAATGAACAGACTGGCTGAAAAAAAACCATTTGGTAACATGCAATCTTTAGTTGAATGCTTCTTTAAAAAAAAAGATGAAATGATAATTGCAATGGAAAATATACAGAGGCATGTTCTTCTGAAATTAGATTCACAAAAGGAATGTGATTTGGAACTAGTTAATTTGTTGAAAAGAAATTGGGATTGTACAGTCTTAAAATTAACTGAGCTGATGGCATACATTTCTTTGAAGTTCAAACCTGCAGTCTTTTACAACAGCAGAAGTACACTGAGTGGAAAAGTAAATTAGCTTTCCTCAGGACGATCGAAGGAGATGAAGGAATGGATTTATCACACTTAATTGGTAATCAATTTTAACTGGACTTTTTGGGGAAGATAGACCAACTTTGAACTTATTATATTTAATTAGAGAGTAATTAATAAGAAATGGCATTAAGAAACAGACATGGATATTTGATCCAGGACAAATAACTTAATCTTTGGGATGTCTTGGGATAGATAAGATGTTATGGAAAATTTTCTAAGAGTTATTCACAATAATAGTTTGTTAACATAGGAGTACATCTTGTCTTTATTGTTTTTGCTGTTAATTATTTTGTCATCAATATTGTATATAGATGAAAGGTTAGCAATTTGCAAATGGATTTGGTTGTTTAAAATCTTTTGGGCTTGTTTTGCAGAGGGTGAGAAATTAATTGTGTAATAATGTATCAGTATGGGGGATAATATGTTTATAGGTGTTATATATTTTTTCTTTCTCAGTGCATTTTTTTTAATGTCGTGCTTGTTTTATGTTGGAAGTTAAATCTGGTCTGTGTCTTATTCCAAGCCAGGGGAGAAATGCAGAAAGAGGAAAAATTTGAGGCTGGCTGCAGCTGGAAAGGAGGTTTATTGGCCCAGTAATAGCAATGATAGCAGCAATTATTCTGGGATTGCCAGAATTCCTATGGTCCAATGGACTAAAAATTCTGTGTTTCATTCCTATCACATCTAAATATCTTTAGATTGCAGCAAAATATGCAAATCATTAGTATATGAAATACATACTTTCATATATAGTCCTTGAATGAGATATTAGATATGTACATTGCAGAAAATGAGTGGGGTTAGACTTAAAATAGAATTTATGTCGTTTAAAATTAAAATGCTTTCAATGTAATTTTAAAGTTAGGAATATTATTACAAGGTGTTTGGCTGCAATGACTGAGAAGGGGAAGCATTATAATATATATTTAATGCCTTAAATTAAAATCTGATTAATTCTTATTGAGGAGTTCCATTGAACTTTGGGATTTTTCAATAACATAATGCACAGTGTTATTTTATAAAAATAACTAAGTATCAGTTTGGATATTTGATCGATTTGAAGAACCTCCTGGAATGTTCCATCATTAGAGGTTTGAAAGTAAACATTGGACAGCCATTTGTACAAATGATATCAGGATTTGTACTTGGGATTGGACTAGAATTCCAAGATTCTTTCAAATTCTTGGATTTTATGATAAGCAGTATAAGATACTAGTAGATTTAACTTCACTTTTTGAACTAAAAGTTCAGAAATTGCACGTTAAAGGACAATATATTAATTCCAATATCGTTCTAATTGACAACTAGGAGGTATAAATATGTCAATAAGCAAGGAAAATAATGGTCTTTTGGTTTATATTACAACAGAATCAGAACATGTGGCAGTATTTTTGACTATTATTAAATATCCATTTATATATCATTTTATTAAAAACTGTAAACTTGATTCATGAAGAAAGACACAGTTAATCCTGCTATGAATAATTAACAATGGAATCTAACTTTTTACTTTCACTGCCCTATAATCACTGAAGCAGGGGTTCTTTCTAAAAGATAAGAAAGCAGGTAAGAGTTTGTAGTCAATTTGTCAAGTAATCAAGATAACTATGCATAGCAAGTTCTAGATTTTTTTTAAAAAAGATAAAAAGTGTCCTTCAAACAGACTTTAGCCTTCAGCCAGGAACTTCCAGATGTTTTGTTCTTTCTTTCAGAAAGGAAGATAAAAAGTGCCCTTCAAGTGGAGATAATTACTGGTGATTTCTTAGCCAAGGATAGGCATTTTCCTTGACAAAAATATTTAAATGATTCCATGTGCAACTGTGGTTTCTTCTGAGTTGTTTTTCAACTTCTTAGCTACAGAATTAATACCTTCTCATAGTTTCCCATCAAAATATTTATTATGACTCAGCTTCTAAACTCTAAAAAGATCAATCAAATTCCGTATAATTCCTTCCGATCAGGCACAGCACCAGATATATTAAGCAGCTATACTGGGCTAAAATGTTCACCTTCCAGGGAATTATAGGGATATATATTTCTGTTTTGGGATATATTTACCCCTATAAAATAGATGTAAAACACATTAACATTTCCTGCATGTTTTTGTGTGGGGGATAGAAATGTCTCCAGATTAATATTGTGGTGAAAATATGGATTATATTGACAAACATAAACTACTGCCTTAGCTTTGCTGCTCAACCAAGAGCCTAAATTGCAAAATCAAAGGAAAGCAACACCTGCTATAATTCACCATCCACCTATCCCTAGTTTTCTTCTACTATATATAACCTATTTGAATTTTCAGGAATTTTAGGTGCTTTTTGCTTGCCAATGTTTCATTCTAGACATTATAGGTAGCATTTTCAGTGTTAACAAGGAGTGGGGTTTGCTCCTATTTTTATATTTATTTGTCCAGTCCATGCTGGTGGAGGACTTGTTTCCACCTTGATAGTTCCTTGGTTAGGCTACTTGATTGCTTGTCTGATTGGTAGTTCTTTGATTAGGGTGTTGTTTATTGCTTATATTAATTCTGATATTCCATGTTTATCTAAGTGTTGATTGCAGGGAAGGTGTTCTGGCATTTTTGTTTTATTTTTAGCTTTTTCACTGTCTCTTTTGAATCCATGTGTAATATGCTTTATCTGTAGGTGCCTATTAATGACTATTAATGGGTCTTTTGGTTTACTTAAGATGTTTGAAATTGTGAGTTTCAATGATGTATAATTGCCTATGTTTCCTATATTGTATAGACAGTTTATCTCTTTTCTCTGGTGTTCTGCAGTGTGTTTGTGCTCATCTGAATGTTTATACATGGCTCCTTTTGGGGGAAGATGGCTTGTTACTTTGGAAGTGGATACATCTAGTGGTTACATCTAGTGTGTTGTACAGTTCTACTGGCATGAATTGCAACATTTCACTAGTTCTGGGTCTATAGATGTAGAGTGTTTTGAATGAAACTAAATGAAGTATCTAAATTTCCAAAAAAACCAACAACCCTCCAGATTAATCTATAAAGCAATACTTAGACTGGCTAGGTATCCATCTTAAATGTATATAGATGTATCCTCCTTTTATTCCCTTCTCCCCTCATCTCTCTCCCCTCCAGCCCCAAATAGATATAGCAGAGTTTCAGAGAACAATGCAATGTCAAAGCACAAATAGTACACAAAGATGAAAAACATGCACTTATGGAAGTTTTAAATCTGAGCAACTGGGGAGAAAATTTATTTGGTATTCTGCAATTCCCTCAAACGGGTACTCAATACTAGTTGCTTCTCCCCAGAGGTGGTATTCAGCAGGTTCTGACCAGTTCTGGAGAACAGGTAGCAAACATTTTGAGTAGTTTGGAGAACGGGCAAATCCCACTTCTAACTGGAGATTTTACAGTATCCTTCCCCTGCCATGCCCACCAAGTCACTCCCACAGAACCGGTAGTAAAAAAATTTGAATCATACCACTGCTTCTCCCTCTCCAGCCTCCCTCTCACACTTCTTTTAAGTAGAAACTGCTTTAAAAAGAAATAAATAAAATAGCACGAGACGCGGCCGAAGGGCAGAATTTCTTCCTGCATTTCTTCGGCATTGGACACATGCTCAGAGGCATTTTCTCACTGCTTTTAAGCCGGGCTCCTAGCTCCGTTGCCATCCGCACCTGACTCTTCGTGCCTGACTATTACCCACCGGTGGCCTCTCCTCTTTCCTTCGCTCCTTGCTCTTACTGCAACTTCCTCGCGGCGTTAAAAGCGAATCCCTGGGACGCTTAAAGCGAGTAATTCTTGTTGTCCCCTCGCCTCCCCTCCTGAGGCGGCCAGAAACAACGAAGCAAGTGTATCCGCGCGCGCGCGCCCGCGCGCTTGTGTGCGTTTTTGCGGCTAACGTCCTTGGCCAACCAGCTGGGGTAGGAGGGGAACTCGATCAACCTCTGCCGGAAGCCTTGTCAAACGCCCCAACGGGGGACGTGGCCGGGGAGCGACCGCTCAGCTTCGCGCCAAGCCCCTCCCACCTTGGCGACGTGTGTCTCGCAACGTGCTGAAGGGCGGGAAGTAAACAAGGCCCGGCCTTCCCTGGCCGCTCCCCCTCTGCTGGGCCTCCAGTACCTTCCAGGAGGGCCTAGGCCTGCGAAAGGGAGGAAGGAGCCGCCCAGAGCTGTGGCGCAGCAGGAATTCCCGCTTCGGCGCGGTCCGAGGAAAACGGGAGGGCGAAGGGAGGGGGCGCTGTTTCTGCGGACCCGCCTCCCCGCCCGCGTGAGGAACCGAGGAGAGGGCGGAAGCGGTCTCAGGACGGCGACGCCTACGGGTGGGGCGGGGATGCCCGAGGCTATTTTTACTCGTGCGCCTCATCCTTTCTGGCTACTTACTCGGAGGGGCGGCGGCAAAGCAGTGGCTGCAGTGGTTGCTCCCTAGCCCGGCCCCTGCAGCCTTCCAAGGTTGCTGTGAGCGCCGCCACCGCAGCAGCCTATAAAGAGCCGAGAATGCGGCTCTACGGCACTATCGTCACTCATTATCCGGCGGCGGCAGCGGCAGCGGCGGAAAGTGGCGCGTCCAGCGGGCCGGGAGTCGTGTTCAAAGTCTCTCATTCGCCGGAGACCGCTGGACAAAGCCCGGGTGGAATTGAGAGCGACATTGGAGGTGGCGGAGGAGGGAACGTGAGTGCCGTCACAGCAGGAGCAGCCAACACCATGCCCGCCTTCTCTTGCTTGGAACTGCTGCCCTCGGCGGGGCCCGTCCAGAGGAAGCCGCCGCAGCAGCCGCAGGTCTTCGCATCCGCGGCGCAAATGACCCGCCGCCGGCAGCTGGAGAGAGTAGTCCCCATCCAACTGGTGCCGCACTCGGAGTCCATCGGAGCGGTGGGGAAGCTGGACCCGCAGGAGGCTCCCAATGCCCACCCGTGGCTGCTGCTGGAGAACAGTGGGGGTGAAGTCGCGGCCGCCGCCCAGCCAACCTTGCAGCCGGAGCCGAGCAATCGCGGGCTCCGCTTCAACGAGCATTGCCAGGCCTTGCAAGCGGCGGCAGCAGCCGGTTCCTACTCGGGACTTGCAGTTGAATCTCAGCCCGCCACCACATTGAAAGTTGCAGAGGAGGCGAGCACCAGCCAGTTGCGTCAGACGGAGCGGAGCGAAAAGCTGGCGCTTTACCTGGCCGAGGTGGAGAAGCAAGACAAGTACCTGCGGCACAAGGGCCGCTTCCGCTTCCATATCATTCCCGACGGCAATTGTTTGTATCGCGCCATCTGTAAAGCCATCAATGGGGACCAGCGGCTGCACGGAGACCTTCGCGAACAGACGGTGCACTACATCGCCGATCACCTGGAGCAGTTCGCACCCTTCATCGAAGGCGACGTGGGAGAGTTCCTCATCAACGCTGCTCAGGACGGCGCCTGGGCCGGCTACCCTGAGCTTTTGGCCATGGGGCAAATGCTGAATGTCAATATCCATCTCACTACTGGAGGCAGATCCGAGAGCCCCACTGTGTCCACTATGACCCACTATCTGGGCCCTGAGGATCCCAGCCGGCCCAGCATTTGGTTGAGCTGGCTTAGCAATGGCCACTATGATACTATGCTGGATCATCAATGTCCCAATCCAGAATATGAGGAGTGGTGCAGGAAGACTCAGGTGCAGCGCAGAAGGGATGAGGAGCTGGCCAAAGCTATGGCAGTGTCCTTATCCAAGATGTACATTGAGCAGAATGCCTGTTCCTGAGATAGGCATTGAATCCCATGCCTGCTGTTCTGGTGCCTTAATTGTTCTCCATTTCTTTCTCTAGCAGTTGTAATTCTTACTTGGAGCAAAACCCTGAAGATAAGGGAGAGTGAGATTTATAATGAATGCTTATCTATAGATTACCAGACACTAGTTATTTTCATAGCTCTTATTTTGTGTATATAATGTTTATTTCCATACACTTCGTTCCTTAAAAAGGATCTTTTTTTCTTTTTGCACTTTTTCTAGTTTTCTTTGCCACCAAAATAAAATTTCATTTCATTATTTGTTTGCCTATAGATTTTTTTCTGGCCTATATGGCTGATAGCATAACAGTTATTTTATGTTAATATCTGACACATTCACAGTATCATTCTTTCAAGGTAAAATTGTATTACTTTCTAGCACAGGTTGAGAGCAATTGGGCTTCTGTGTTCAGTTAAATGGAGTAAGCTCGGTTCTCAATTTATTTGATTGGTCTTTTTTGTTAATCACACAAAAATGTTTTCAAAAACTGCAGACATACAAAAAAATACTTTAAAAGTAGACTTTTTTCTTTTTAGGAATATAAATGCCTCCTATCTGCCCCTTGATAGTCCATTAGCAGGTTTATCACATTCTTTTGTTTCTAATTGGCTTAAGATGGTATTATGTACAAATATATTTATACTAAGTTTGTATGGTTTGCTGGGTCAAACATTCAAGGTAGTAAACACCCTCTTCAATTTTGAATGAACTTAAATGGTTAGATATATTTATTAAATGGAGTTTGTACTTTTTTATTTTGTGACTTTGGAATTTATACTATATTTGTATAATAGCAATATTCTTAGCATTCTGGAATAAATGTATAATTTTGCTTGGATCTCGGACAAATGTCTGTGTGGGTAAAAACAACTTGGGGATTCTGGCTAGGCTGCAGAAAGAAAGTGAAAGCTCTTGGCTAGGCTTGCTACTGGATCCACACCAGGAATAGTGAATGGGAAAGGGCACCTGGGAGTCAAGTGTTGATGAATGTAGATGTTGAAGTATCTCCATGATCCAATTTTGCCTTTTGAATAGTGGGGAGGGTTGTGAAGGCTTTATATGAATCATTTAATATGTAACCAACCTCCAAGGTCATAAACTGCTTAGAATATAACATTACTCTTACAAACGTTAGTAGAAAAAACGAGGGACCATATATTTGATGAAGGCAGTGATGCAAAATCAGCAGAGCTGGGATTTTTTATTTTTCTTTTAGGGGAAGAGTATTCACACAAACAATTTAATTTATTTGAATCTTAATTTTAATGTGTTTCCATTTCAAAATAATGTACTAATGATTGTAATTGCAGGGCCTGTGGGGGTGGGAACAGAATGGACTGCATATTAGGGCTGAGTTAGATACCTAATAATATAGCTGGAAGAAGAGTTGGGCCAAAAAGTGGTAGAGTATAACTTTTTCGCTACTTGCTGCAGGCCGGAAGATTTCTTACCATTCAGCCCCAAAGGCAACAGCTTATATATTTAATAGAACTTTTCATGGTGCTTAGAATTACAGTATGATTATGTCGTTCAGTGATGGCATACATAGAAATCAGCTTCAATCAAACATATTGAATAAGTAGGGACAGGTAAGAACATGTTATAGAACAGGAATTCCAGTTACAACAAATCCTGTTGTGTATTAATCAACTTGCAGAAACCACATTTTACAGGAAGTGTCATGATTAGTGAAATTAACTTGACATCAGGCTGTTCTGAATCAAATTCTATAAACTGATGTCCTAAAAATGAGCAGAATTTGTCTAAGAATATGGAAGTGGAGTCTGCTTGTTCTACTAGTGATAGAATAATAAAGGGGTTCCTCTGTGAAGCCAATCATAAAACAAGAGGGTATTGCCACATAACAGATTTTCTAGCCTGCTTCCTTGCAATATTAATGAATGCTGCCCCAACACAATATATCCAGGGTTGCAATTGTAGAATAACAAAGCTCTCACTTTAAATTGGAAGAAGCACAGAATTTTGCTCCTGAGTTCATTTTGATTAACGTCAATTTATAAACCAGACTAGTCTAGTTTGGAAGTGGGAATCACCAGCGGAAACCATGATTTGGATAATGAAGTGTCATTTTGTAACTATCCACCCACAAAATAGGTGTGTGCTCTGTCCCTGTTCTTGGCAAAGGCATATTTATTTTATAAAAATGAATCCTTTTATTAAAAAGCTGTAGATATAAACATAACTTTTAAAAAACAATTTAATTTTTTTTTGGTGGAAGGCTCTTTTCTTTAGGAAAAGGCAAAGAAGATTAAATGTCCTTTAGTTTACTTTATTGTCATTGCACCTCGTACAACGAAATCAAACACCATCTTCAGTACACATCATAACCATGACCATGACCATACAAACACACATCCTTCACCCTTCACACATTGAACCGGAAACCCCCGACACCACACCAACACTGCACTATACAGCAGAATTCAAAAGAGCTACTGCCCTGGGATAGAAGCTGTTTTTCAGCCTGTTTGTCCTTGTTTTTATTATTCTGCCAGATGGTAATAGTTCAAAAAAAGGGTTCCCAGGATAAGATGGCTCTTTGAGAATGTTTTGAGCTTTCTTAAGGCAGCTGGAGCTATAAAGCTCTTCCAAGGAGGGGAGAGGGCAACCAGTGATCTTCTGCGCAATGACATTAACCCTCTGGAGTGCTTTCCTATTGGCCACTGTGCAAGTGGCAAACTATACAGAGGTGCAGTATGTTAAAATGCTCTCTTTGGTGCAGCAGTAGAAGGTCACCAGCAGTTTTTCATTCAGTTGTTGTTTTCTGAGAAGTCGCAGATAGTATAATCTCTGCTGGGCCCTTTTGATCAGGGCTACAATGTGGGCTCCCCCGGTCAGGTCCTCTTTTAGGGTAACACCCAGAAACTTAAAACTGGCCACTTGCTCCACTTGGTCTCCATTGATAAGCAAGGGCTGGATGTCTGATCTGTTCCTTCTATAATCCTCTATAAGCTCCTTGGTCTTACTGGTGTTGAGGACCAAGTTACTGTCTCCACACCACAAAAGCAACCTGTCTACCTCATCTTGGTAGGCAGACTCATCCCCCCCGGAGATAAGTCCCACCAGTGTTGTATCATCTGAAAATTTAGCAATAGTATTACTAGCGTGAGTGGGAATGCAGTCATGCACATAAAGAGTATAGAGTAAGGGACTCAACACGCAACCCTGTGGTGTATCAGTGTTAAGAATAAGGGCTGAAGAGGTATGATTACCTAATCTGACTCTGAGCGGCCAGACAGGAAATCCATAATCCAAAGGCAGATTGAATTAGAAATGCCCAAGGTCCAGAAGTTTAGACACTATATGTGGAAGAAATGTGTTAAATGCAGAACTAAAATCCACAAAAAAAATCCTCACATAGCCCTCCCGCTGTTCTAGATGAGTCGGAACAGTGTGAAGAGTAATGGCTATAGCATCTGTAGATCTATTTTTTTCTGTATGCAAACTTGGAGGCACGCTTTCTGATAACTCATTAATGTAAGGCCTGGATAAGAGCTGGTTTAGCCATTGGACATAAAGTGAAGCTGAAAATTTCAGGCACCATATGTTTCATATATTTTTGGGGGTTAGTGAAACCTAACAAATTCTTTT